AAAATCCCAAAATTTCGAAAATCCGAGAGACCAGTTTTGTAGCGCCGTCTTTTCTCTACACAACCACATAAAAAACTTTAAAATTGCTTGTTAACTGTAGAATTGGTGAGCGTTTCAAGATGTCATGTTTTTTGCTCATTTTTACTCGAACATGACCTCAGTTTTACCTCAATAACTCCTGACCTGAGGTGACCTGTGACTTGAAATTTTGTGTGAAGGTGTCAAATTGATGCCCGGTAAGGTACCCAAAATTTGGCGGCGCTGCGCACCGCCGTTTTCTCGCTATTTAAGAAAAACCACAGGGGGCCAAAATGGCCCCCCATCAGGGCGCGGGTTAAAAGTTGCGCAAGCGGAGTTGACCTTTAAAAAAAGACTGTTGTTGGCACGTGTTTATGGCGCGGCAGCTGGTAGTTGGCGGTGTTTCGCGTGGTGTGGCATCACTGGCGGATCCGGGGGGGAGGGGGGGGGGGGGCACGGGAGCCTGAGGTGCCCCTGACAGGCCTATGGTGCCCTTGCTAGGCCTGTGGTGCCCCTGGGACCTGACAGGACTGTGGTGCCCCTGACAAGCCTGAAGTGCCCCCAACAGGCTCGTGATGCCCCCGACAGGCCCAAGGTGCTCCTGCGTGATGCCGTGATGCCTGGGAGGCCGGTGGTGCCCCTGCTAGACCGGTGGTGCCCCTGGTAGGCCTGTAGCGCCCCTGGGCCCTGACAGGACTGTGGTGCCCCTGACAGGCCCAAGGTGCCCCTGCAAGGCCGGTGGTGCCCCTGTAAGGCCTGTGGTACCCCCACTAGACCTCTGGTGCCCCTGACTGGCCCATGGTGCCCCTGCGAGGCCGGCGGCGCCCCTGGCAGGTCTCTGGTGTCCCTGACAGACCTGGGGTGCCCCTGACAAGCCTGTGGGGCCCCTCACAAGCCCGTGGTGCCCTTGCTAGACCTGTGGTGCCCCTGGCGGGCTGGTGGTGCCCCTGCTAGGCCGGTGGTGCCCCTGACAGGCCTGTGGTTCCCCCGGGCGTACCAAGGGGGGTCATGACCCATGTGGCCCCCTTGGATCTGCCACTGATACATAATATATATTGATTTGTAAAGGCGTTATGGCTTATGCAATATGCAATTCCAGGCACTTGGTATCCCTCACTTATCCCTCATTGGGGGCTCTGGCGGGCTCCTGGGGGCCCACGTCTATCTCCGGGAGCCCTAGACAGGCTCCTTTTGGTCCTTTCAGTCCACTATAGCATAAGAGGTCTCCATGCGAGTGACCGAGTCCTATACATCTGAGGGCGTACCTTGACGTCTGAGGTACCCAACTGCAGCTCCAATGGTCTCTTACACTGGCGGATCCAGGGAGGGGGCATTTAGGGCCATGCCCCCTTCCCAGAGGCCTAAAGTGGCCCTTTTGCCCCCTCCCCCAAACGATAATGAAACCTAGTTCAATCAGTGCGTGGCCCAGGAGCCGAGTAAGACAGGGGGTGTTTTACCACCTCCCGGCCCGCAAAGGGACCCAAGCACTGACTCGAAGCGGGTTAACTGGTCGACAAAAGCAATGGTAAGTGTTAACAAAGTAATATAAAGGCATGGGTCGGGTGGGCTACCATATATATATTTTTCCTTTTAGTAAAAAAAATTGATAGTGTCAGGCTGTGACGAAAAATAAGTGGCCTAAATCCGATGAGAAAACAGGATTTGGGGGTACCCTAGGTTTGGCTCCTGCATGAGTTGGCCCCCTAAACACAAGCCTGGGTCCGCCAGTGATTTTATTGATACTGTTACTCTTGTCTATCGCTGAAAGGTTCAAGGCAATCGTTCAGTCGGCGTAGCTATGACGAGCCTTCTAATTTTTTTTCTGAGGTGAGGTCACTTGGCGTGACCTGGTGACCTGACCTTGAGCGACCTGGGTCTGAAATTTTCACAATACGTGCGGAAAAGATGCACAAACAGGTGTACCAAAAACGGCGGCGTTTTTGAGATATCTGCGAAAAACCGCGGGAGGGGGGTGTTCAAATACCCCCCTCCGGCCTGGCGCGGGTTAAAGTCCAACGTCATAGTAAAAATTGACCTCAAATTTCCGGGTTTTTAATTTTGCATTTAAGGCTTTGAGGACACCTATAGACATGAGACCTTAAAAATTGGGGATCGTTGGATACGTCTTGTGGAAAGTGACCTGCTCGTTTTTCGATTTTCATATATCTTACATAAAGTAAATATCAATTTAAAATGAACAAGCGCTAAAGAGAGCAATAAACTTCTGTAGGTGGAAGTGGAGTCAGAATCCGTTATCTATATATAACGGAGCCCCCGAAAAAAGCAGCACCGCGAGCGTTGGGGCTAACAATCCTGGCAGGGCGTGATCCAACAACCTGTCACCCGCGAATGCCCAGCACATACCGTTTCCAAACAGCACATTTATGCCACTAAAATATGAAGTATATTTCTCGAACACCACACCAAATTCCAATAATTATGGTGTGCCGGCAATCTGGTGTCGATACTGCCACAACTCATCGTACGTCACAAGTGTTACGGGTTCGAACACATCGCATTGAGCACATTCTCATCCCGTGTAGTCATCCACTGATAACATACTTGCGGACCTGCACATAAATACATCCTTTTAAACTAAACCAGCTATTGGACGCATACATCACATCTAAATAGCAGCCAATGAATATGAACACAGTTAATCCGGCTGATAGATTTTCCCATTCCCTAGCTCAGACTGCCTCACTTGCACATGCGTGCTGGCAGAATGACAAATTTATGATTAAGTTGGATCTCTTCTCGGTCGAATAGAAGATGATAACGAGTTTTAATAAATAGCATCATAGACCACTTATCAGTAATACAGTAGTTTATAAAGTATGTTTCACATAGGAAGAATAGTCCGGCTCTGAATACCTATGATAAGGAAGCTTTTGGTTGTCCCACCACTCACCAGTTTTTAATAAATTATCAGTTTAGCTCAAATATTTGAAGGAGCGGCTTAGCAGAGGCCGAACTCACGCGGAGCAGAGCTTGTTTCACAGGCCCAGACCCATACAGTTCGATCGGACAATGATAAGAGATCGGGAGGATTTTGATGTTTAGCGTGCCCATCAGAGCCGGACACGGTCCATACAGCTCCCCTGATTTGAACTGGCTGCAGCTGCTCCGACCAATCTCAGGATTTCTCCGTTTGGAGTTTCGTATATGTCTATATCGAACGCCAGAGCGACTCGAACCCGGGCTCTTTACACTAAGAGTATGTACAACAAGCTACCAATTGAGCTACTGGACGGACATGGGTTCAGGTGTTTGCTTGGTTATCACCATCATTTTATGTATTAATCGTTTAAGGTTGTGGATTTTAAGATTCATTGTTATCATCAAGAACAATTGAAATTTTTGCCCTTATAGAAGCCATACCGCAACATGTCTGAATTTTTCAATGCTTTTCTAATTTTTTTTTCTAATTGCAGCGTTTTTAGGAAATCGATAAATACGTGATGATCATACATGCCTGAGACATACACTACGAGTACTTATGGGGTCACCTGAAGAGTTATGGACGTAAAGGAATTCTTACAGCTCCCACAAGTGGATAACGGGACAGGACAGACAGTCCAAAAAGTGTCGGGAGACCAGCATTTCGATTGGGTCCCACGGTTTGTGCAGCGGAGTATGCGTAGTTGAAAAGTAAGTAGTAAGTAACAAAAGAATGGAGGAATTCGTCTCCATTGTCTAATCTCCATTTCCACGGCTCATACAATTTATATTTTGCGCAACTAGTTAGGTAAGTACCGAATACACATTCAAAGCTATAGCGCGCAGTGAACGACGTCGTAAGGGAATACAAATTCGTCCGCTTGCCGTTGTTTGAGCACATAACAATATCCGTCGTGTATCGTCATTCCTTGAAAGTAATGGAATGTCAAATATATTTTCAATTTGACTTCCAGACACATACACCATACCAATGACATACCCTGTGCTGTCAAAGATATAGGACACACCATGCACCTCACACCGGCATTTCAAGGTAAACGGGGAAAACCCGCTCACAATCCAGTCAGTCTCTCACCGTTACGATCACATGTGAGTATAGACATTTTTATATTGAGAGTATAGTCATTTATCTTTAGTCATGCCTACAGATTGCACAAAAATAATTAATCCATAGCTATCTCATGGACCGCGGATTTCTAATAAAATAAGTACCACGCACACTGCATTCACCATCAGCAATCGGTTATGTTTTCTTACGATTTTATCACCATTTTCGAAGCATTTCAGAAATGGTGATAAACATTGTTCGATGTCACGTTAAAAATATCTTTTTTTATGTTTGAGTCCCATTAATGCTACCCTGTTACACTGGCTGGTCGTGCTGTCTGACAATCAGGCAATGCTGCCTTACCTCAGACAAAACTTCACTGTTTTAGGTAATAAAAAGCTATGATTGTCTGCACAATAAGTATTCGAAAATACTATATGAACGACAATACCATTTATACGCAGGAATATAAATGATACTTCCTGCCAGCTAGCAGATTATGTATAATATGAATGTTTGCTTGAACAATAGGGATTTTCAGACCAAACCGTACTAAATAATTTTCTTCTTCTTGTCGTACAGTATATGCTGCGGGGCGCGAGCTGGTGTTAACAAATGACATGATTCCTGAAACGAACAAAACGAAACTATCGGCAGTAAATGATGAGTAAATGCGTACTGTCTGATAGATTTCCCCGATAGCACTGTCTTGGTGAGCGGCTGGTCGCTCTGTGCCACTGCAGTGCTGATGTCTAGTTACACTGTCTGATTATTCAGACGTCATGACTGAGCTCTGTCCGCTGCACTGCTGACGGTACCGCGCTGCGCTGAGCAGCGGTGGCAGCAGCGGCAGCGGTGGCAGCAGCGGTGGCAGCAGCGGCAGCAGTGCAGCAGCGGCAGCGGCAGCGGCGGCAGCAGCAGTGCAGCAGCGGTGGCAGCAGCAGCGGCAGCGGCAGCGGCGGCGGCGGTAGCGGCAGCGGAGCGCGCATTACGCTGTGGCCAGCCTGCCGAGCAGCAGCAGCAGACCGCTGGCCGGCAGGACGGCCATCCAGCCGGCGAGGAGCGCCCGCACCGAGCCGGCGCCGCTCCTGCACACCTCTGAGCCGTGAATGAAGCCCGAACAGTGTGTCTGCCGGAACGAGAGACACAGGTCAGGTCAGCGAGACACCGATCAGGTCATAGACACAGGTCAGGTCACAGAAACCAGTCACATCGCTGCGACATTGGCACGCCATTAACCATAAAGAGCACATAATACCGATGGCAAAATTATGTGCATAAATAGGTGTACATAGATGTAGATGTATTGCGCGTGCGGTGTTAGGCTTATAGATGCACGGTGCATGACGCTTTGGTGAGCTGGTGTTTCGGTTTACTGGATAGACGACATTCTACAATGTCAAGAAAAGTCACGAATCATCGACATTGCTGCTTTCATATGACCCAAGTGATTGAGTGAACGGTGACGCTGTGATGGGTAGGTACTGAAGCTAGTCAAATGTATGGAGGGTGCGTGGGACCACAACTAGTTACACTACAGAAGTGTGATACTGAGCTTTTATCAAACTTACCGCCACCAGTGGTCCCGCCAGCCGCTCTAAAAAGTTTTTGGTGAAGTTTGAAGTGCCGATGCCACACTTGTGTACTACGGCCTGCTGTGAGCAGTGCAGGTAGCTCTTGAAAGAACTGAAACAAACGGAACATAAGAACTTTTAAGGCCTACGGTCTACTCAAACTATTTCAGGGCCGTGAGATGGGAGAACAAGAGGAAGCATTGGGATTGATCGACAAACAGCTGGTGCGAGGCAGCGACTCAGACCTGTCCCGGTCCGGTGAGACTGCATACTGTACAGTGTCCCCGGTGGGACAGGCTACTCAGCCAAGAACAGAACCGTACCTTTCAAAGCTACCGACATGGTTTGTTAGCATAGCTATTCCTGCTGCTGCTCAGAACAGTTAAAAATAAGTCAAAAACGTTTTTTAAAGAAATAGCTTTTTCCAAACAACATTCAGTAGATTTTTTTGTGGGAGGAGGCGATCTGTGTATTTCAGTGTCATTTCCTTCGAGACTCAGGAAGGAAACAAATGCTTTACATGCCAAAGCACACCCTAGGTACTTACATGCAGGAAACTGTTGAGCCGTGCGCTATCGGTTTACATACAGCTATCTTATCTTCATCATTGCATCCATCCATCTACGTGAGCCCTGTTAGTGGCATACTCCCGGAACCGAAGTTATCGTATAAACAGCAAAGTTTTCTTTTACATGCAGGCAGACAGTCTTTAGATGAGTGCGGACTGCAGATTGCTCAGTTGTAGTTAGGTAACGCCTGTTTATACGAGCGCCTGTTTCGCTGCAGACTGGATCACAAGCACCTCAGGCAGTAAATGCCCGGTTCGTTTACTGCACTGCCGTCTGCACTGCTGAACTCTCACAAACATCTGGCCTGGAGCTGAGAGATTTCCCGACGCATAACCTCGTCACAGAAATCCAATGAACTTTGTTGGCGACCACGACAACATTTCGGTCAGGACCCTGGACTACATATGCCGACAGCAGGGCATTTATAATAAGGCGGAGATGGTGTGATTTGAGACCGCCTTTCAACTACAAAGGACGTCTCATCACAGAAACTTAACGTGTTATGAAGCTGAAGGCCGAACAAACATCGCGGGAAGCGGACAAAGCATCTTGCGTCTCTTATGACTACATTTCTTACCAACCCACGAAACTAGCTCGTTCTATTTACTCTGAAACTAACACACGTTTTCGAACACGAAAGTGCCAAACTAAAAATGCAATATCATTGCGAGTTTGCCCTTGCAATTGAAACTGATTGCCTTATGTATATGAGGGTGCATAGATAACATTTTTTTTTTATATAAATTTAGTCCTAACCTTATGATAGGAAGGATTCACAAGGATAGAGCCACCACTAAGCGAAGCTTGTTGCGGTGACCCTGCCCTCTACCCTTCGATCGCGCAATTCCGGTTCTATGGCAGAATTTAGAGTCCAAAGAAACATGAATCATGTTATCTATGGTGGGTGATATTCTTCAGGTTAATGATCTGGTAAAGCGAATGTTAACAAGTTACCTAAGTAATAAGCATGTCATCGCCCACCCTTAACTATTGACAACTCAAGCTCAGCGATTACTCAAGCCGTTACCAACACATGCGATTTGGCGCATCGCAATATGTTGAACCAGGTTGAAAGGAGCACCCAGTAAATGTCAGAATGTGCACAAAATCAATGATGATGCCGCGGTGCTTGCTTATACCACTTTGAATATATATATATATGTATATTGTATAGCTTAGGTACTCCAGACAAGGCAATTTCACCTCCCCACTTATTAAAGACAAAATATGCGGCCTATTTCCATAGCAGCTTCGTCGGTCAGACAATCATCGGTCACGTTATTTGATGCCAATAGCATCGGCAAGTTCCCCGCTGTTTCTACAGTCTGGCTTCGTCAGCGAGTGTCGACAAATATCACAGTGTAATTCCCCGTCGCTGCGTCCGAGTTCCCTCGCGGCGATAAGCGGCCATGCGTGCACAAATCAATCAGCGGCGTACACTCCCCGGCGTGCACTCCCCGGAGATCCGGCAATGACGACGGACAGCTCGGTCCGGGGTTTGCTGCCACTTTCCCCGGCAGCTCCCGCGCGGTTACACAGTTCCTAGAGCCTGTAACGTAGCTAATCTCTTATCCGACTCCCACCGTCACCCTCCCCACCCACCTCCCCGCTCCCCGATGAATAGAAGCGTCATACCTTCAATCGGATCCCCCGCAGTCACCTCCCACTGGGAGCCGTTTCCCTCTCACTAGCCCTCCTCGTTACCCTCCCACTGGGAGCCGTTTCCCTCTCACTAGCCCTCGTGACCCTCCCACTCCCCCGCCACCACCCACACCCCCGGCCCAACCAGGAGTGTCACGAGCATTGATCGCGGTATGCGATGCATCAATGGCCTCTCGGGTTCGGCAGCCGTTCTAACCGATGGTCCTTGGCGGCACCGGCACAGCAGACCTGTGTCGCAGGAGAGCCAGCCACAGGCCACGCTCCAGTACAGCCCACCTTCCAATTTCCATAGACTTGGTTTCTTTGAAGGCCTGCGCAATTGAAGTGAAACGCTATTATAGCGTCACACTTCTGCAGGGTGTTTGAATTCATTCACGCTGAACGTTCTAGTGCATGAAGGGACGAAATGAATTTTTTTTTACAAAGAAGCCTAGATAAATTATTTATGTTCACCAAAAAGCGTATTAGGCAAGTAGGTATTGGAAAAAGCAAAACACGTTCCCCACCACGTATGCACAACTAAACATTAAATGAAATAAAAACATGCAGCGCAAACAACCCACCAGCAGAGTTTGCGGATCTGGTGTGCCGACGAGTGTTCGCCGCTGTCGTCGGTGGCGCCCGGGCCAATCCTGTCCATCTGCGAGAGATACTCGTCGGCACACACCTCGTAGCCACGCTGCACGGTGCGCATGCACGGCGCGTGCAGCAGGTACTCTGCGGGACGGGGACAAAACGGCCGCCCGTCAGCACATACCGACCGGGGTGGCCGAGTGCGCGTCAACGACCGCTCACAGCCCACCCTAAACCACGGCGGCGGCGGCGGCGCTGCCTGGCTCACCTGACTGGTAGCCGCCCTCGGCGCACAGGTCCGAGATGACGAGCCGGGTGCCCGTGTACAGCGTCAGAAAATACGACCGCTGGTGGGGCTCCAGACAGTCGGCAGTGAAATTGTCGAAACACTCCATTCCCTCCATCAGAGTCCTGAAACACAGCAGCCACTTTTTACTACACACAATTGGATCTTTAATTGTATAAGGGTGCGTCAATTACTGAACCTATCTTTAACTTTGGCTATGGCATGGGTAGTGGGTATCGGATGTGATCTGCCAGCACCTATGGTGACACAAAAATAAAATGAAAGGGCTTTGAGAAACTTAATTAAAGGGACCCTCCCACCTTTAAAAAAGTTTATGAATTGGCATGAAAGTGATGTCGCTCGGTTCAGAAAGAGCAAAAACGAATATCTACCAAATTTCACCGAAAAATATTCACCGGTTTTCAAGATATTAGACTTTTACTTTTGTTTACTCTTTGGGATCTCCGCTGTTCCTAGCGACTTTATTGTTTGTTTGTTTTGTTAGGTTAGGCCCTTTCGGTCCAATGAGACCATTTCAGAGCCGGAAGGATGATAGGAATTAGGGGGAGACATTGGTCTGGGCGGGCACCCTAGTGAGTCGCCGGGGCTGAGCCCGTCCAGAGGACAGGCCACCCAGCCCCAAGGCACTCACTGCACCCGGCTACGGGGTGCGCTCCCTCGGGAGCAGCGGCGCCGCTCCAAGGGAGCAGCCCGCATGAGATAAAGTTGCCTGTCCAGCCCGGAGGGGGGTTGCGGCGTGGAGGAGAAGGATTTCAGTATCCTGAGGATAGAAGCACGGACAGGTGTCTAGCGACTTTATTTGGAAGCAATAGTTTGGCAGCTGAAAGTGCGGCACTTGTTGCGCGCAAAGCAGCATATACCACCGCGTGCTACAAAACGTTTTAGTCAAACATTTAAAAATCGTTAGATATCTGCGCTGACGTCACACATTCAGAGGGGTATTCCTATGCATTAGCCCCTCTGAATCAAAATGCTGCAATTTTGAAATTCAATATTTCCGATTTAAGGCATTTCTCGTTGTTGTGAGTGCCGAAACCGGTAATTGTGAGCCAGGGACCCCATTTTGGCTATCTCAACTCAAATCTAATGTTAAGGTGGGATGGTCCCTTTAACCCTCGCCCGCACATGGGGGGGGGGGGTGGTTGCCACCCCCCCCCAGGCAGTCTTTCTGCTCTGCACTCAACATTTTTAGAGCTAGAGGGCTGATTTTTCGTATAGCTGCTTGTCTATCCTTTCTTGATGTCCACTGAAAATTTCAAGTTTCTGTGATTTTTGGTTTCGGAGATATGACCTTGTTTTTCAGGTCATGTCATGACCCAAATGGCCAATTCTCAACATCTTGCGTTTGCCATGGGCCTTGTGAGCTTTTGACACCCTGATTTCGGCCTTTTTTACCAGTCTTACCTCCCACCTATCATGGAACATGTTGTTCGACGATGTACAGGGGTCAAGGTCAGGGTCAAGGTCAACCTAGGTCATCTAAGATAATTGCGTTTTAGGCAAGCTGAATTTACTTTTTGTGAAGTTTTTTTGACTGCATTTTTGGTAAAAGCTTCTCAGGTCATGATTTCATGTGATATGGACCCAAAAACAATCGGTGCACACATCAATATACACACAGACACACACAGACATACAAACACATATAATTGGCCTTGACCTAACTTGACCTGAAATGACCTCAGCAGCAAAATTCTGGTCGGATAGTGTGACAAAGAGGTTCTAGCTGGCTTGGCACCAGAAAACAGCATCGTCATCGGTATTTGATAAGCAGCGCACTTGATATCCAACGGTGACCCAAAACAGCAACATTTTTTAGTTTGACCTGACCTGGAAGGTCAATGACTGACCTGAGAAGGTAAAACTGGGTATCATTGGATTCGTCTCTTCCCAAAGAATCTTTTTGGTCTTTACTGCTAAGCTCTATCTCCAACAGGAACGAAATGGCGCGGGGGGGGGGTGACAACCCCCCCCCCCCATGTGCGTTCTAGGATGGGGAAATGGCATGTGCGGGCGAGGGTTAAAAAGAACTTTACTCTTTAGAGAGGGTAAGACCATGAGCCAAACTATAATGAAATTAACGTATTTACATGACAAGTTTTTACTTCAATTTTTCATGCAAAAGTATACTTTGCTCGTCCCTCATTATAGCCTTGTTTTGCGGAGCTATCCGCTCACCATCAGTCAATCTCCCTGGCTAGCTGGTGTGGGGAACATTTCAACTACTTCAGCTTCTTCTCGTGTCAGAAAACGTTGGCACGACTGCTGACAAGTAAGTCTCTCAAGCCTCTTGTAGGCTTAAAGTTTTCGATAATGAGGACCTATCCGCTATGCGCTTGGAGCCTGCTCGTGAAAACAAGAGACTAAAACACCAGAAGTATTTACCTTTGATGATACTCAGTTACGATAAACTCATCAGCTCGATGGAAGACCTACCTAATATCTTCAGTCATAAGACGAGCCGCTATTTCAAAAGAATCTCTAATTTCCACGCTTCAAAAACATGGTAAACAAACTCATCTCAAGCAATATGCATGCGTTAAACGACGTTACATCCGGAAAACACGCGAATGCAGGACAACGTAGACAAAATCCATCGCTAGGGGCTCAGAATATGAAGCGTTCCTGTTTCCATAAGAGTGTTTATACCTAAGTTCGTTTATATTTAGGTGGAGTACGTGAGTTTCTTTGTGAACAGCTATTGATGAGTATGATGACTATCATGTGATTTGATTGTCATTTTTTCAATATTCCATGCTGTTCGCATTCCGTATACTAAACGGCAGGCCTTAGCACTTATGATAACACACAAAATCATTATAATATCGTATCAAAAGGTTAGCTTGAGGACTGACTTCCTGTCACATTTTGAGACAGTAGGTATACCTACTATACCCATAGATCAGAATTCAGACTTCAGAGCTCAATGAAGTTGAAAAAAAGATAATTAGCACAACCAATTTTTTATAGCGTTTTGCTTTTTCATGATGTAGCGGTGACTTATTTCTATGCCTTTTAGCCTCGAAATACAGATTTATTCATTTAGGTATGTAAGCTGAGATAAAAAACCAGTGCCAGTACCTACTGCACAGTGCACATGCCTCCCTACGACTGCCTACCCCCTCAAAAAAAAAAACTGGGCAGAGAAACTTCAACTCAGAGGTCTGAGTCAAGCGGAGCCGGGAGCCCATTCTGCCTGGAGGAGTGGCGGCTGCTGACTCACGGACACATCCTGGCCAGCTCGCGCCGGGAGGCAGCGAAGCCCAGGTCTCTGTTGTCTGTGAGCACTCGCAGTGGAGAGGTGCACCGGTGCATGGTCTCGCGGTCACAGGCCGTGTCACCGGCAGCCACAGCCCCTGTCAACACATCACCGGCACACATTACGCTAGCTAAAGCAAACTGCCGAAAGTTAAACTCATTAGGCACACCATTGAAAACACGCGAAACTTCACGCGTGTTATGTATTTCCATGATATCAAAGGCAAGATCAAACCACTTCAAACCTGCTGCAAAACATTCAAAACAAATCTTTAAAAGCATATTCATATGTGCCCTATTCATATAGTTCCTAAGGCGTATGGTTCTTACGCTATTAACGATAAACCTTGCGATTCCGGTGCCGCTAATATAGTCCAATTTTACCCTGACATTGTACCGGTTTTGCTGACCTGCCCGACCTGGTGATCTGACCTGAAATGACAGAGAACTACAATTTTCAGGGAGCGTGCCAAAAGGCTGCCCCAGAAATTATGCCAAATTTGCTGGGCCTACGCGCCGTCATTTTTACGTTATTTGCGAAAAAACTTAGGGGGTTGCATCAACCCGGCGAGGGTTAAAACGAACAGAACAGCTACGTATTTGAACGCATTTAGTGCATCAGCAAACAGTTTCCATTTCGGCTTCCCTGGAATGTACAATACACATTACGGTACAATGTAAAAGGAGTCGCACAGAGTATACCAAAAATGTTTGAACGAAATCACTAGAAAAAAAAATAACCACAAGAGAATGTGTGCCTCGCAGTGCGTTAGATCTGAGAAAAGGCAACAGTTTCCACCACTAGCGCAGGTCTAGTTGATCGCTCTCCCTACGGCATGGACTGTCGCCCGTTCCGTTCGCCTCCGCCACCTCCGTCCGTCAGTCTGCCGCCCTCGACGGCGGCATCTGCTGTCTGCTGATTCGACGGCCGTGGCCCACGACAGCCGGTGATCGGCCCGGCCCGGAGCGTCATCTCTCGGCGCCCGCCGCTGTCACCATTGTGTGCGCAGTGCGCAGTCTGCCGGCGCCGCTCTACATATAAGGGCCGAGCCGGCGACCACGGCGGCACCGGTCGGCACGCTGTCCATCATCGCGCCATTGTCTCTGCGTAACGTCCAACGGCAGCTCATCGCCAAACATGATATGCGTCTGTGTGACGCGACTATTTAGCATATATCAAAACTAGTCCTGTTTTTTTTTCTGGTCATTTTAGATAACGTCTTGGCGTGTTTTTTTTTTAAGCTCATTGTCCGAAATGTCATATTTTCGTTGAAATACTCAGGGCGGCACCACGAGTTCTTGATTGGGGGTGGGGACGAATTGGCCGAATGAGCCCCCCTCCCCCCGCAAAGCAGGTATTTGCTACTCGTGTTTAAAAAACCGTCGCGTAGCTCCGCAGGGCTTGGCACACCCCAAAACACATCAAATGTTACATACAATCCGTTTCCAAACTTTGATCCAGGACACTTAAGGCAAGGTCACCTGGCCAAGTAACCTCGCCTCTCGAATAAACATTTGCAGTCCTGTCAACCCTAAAGCTTATCTCCTACAAGATGTGTATCGCTCAGGTAAAAGTATCAGTGCTGCGCGCGCCATTCGTATGTTTCGTACTTATAAAACCTGCGACATTATGTCAGGTTAGATTCATGGCTTCGCCATCATAAACTAGCCATTGGAGGAAAAGCCCGAATGCCTCCTGCTTTGAACAAATGCGGCAAGGTGCAGATGACCCCAAAATGATTTCAGAATCATGACATTGCCACAACTGACCCATGCAACGGGCAAGGTGCAGTTGATGGCCAATGGTCACTAAAAAGGTCATGCTAGGTCATGAAAGGTCATCAGCAGTTATTCGATCATTTTTTAACATATGAATACCAGGGTTGTGCTTGACTCATGAGTTGAGTCAGAAATTTGACTCAACTCTGACTCAAATGAGTCAGATTTGAGTCGAGTCGGATAAAATGTTGAGCTGTTGAGTTGAGACAGAGTTGAGTCGGACAAAAATATTAAAGCATTGAGTTGAGTCAGAGTTGAGTCAGTAAAATAACTTTTGACATTGAGTTGAGTCAAAAACATTTAGGAACATGAGTCAGCTGACTCATCTTTCTAGAAACAATCTACATAAGCTTTTCATTCTCCCCCTGCTGAACAACTTAGGCCTGGCCCTACTGCAGGATTTTTTTCACCCCCCCCCCCGCTCAACAACTTTTTTATCTAAGTCAATTTTGAGTCAACTCACTTGACTCAACAAAAAATTTGAGTCAAGTTTGAGTCAACTCATATTTTCATTGAGCTGCTTGAGTCATGAGTTGAGTCAAGGGAAGAAATCAGCTCCTTGTTTGAGTCAGAGTTGAGTCAGGGCTTTCTGAAGTTGAATGATGAGTCGAGTCGGCAAATTTTTTTGAGTCGAGCACAACCCTGATGAATACATTATACCGATGAAATTGCCTTAGGTGAGTTCAGCTGTACAAACCAGCGACCTTTCTTATAGGCGAACCCACAAAGGATACTGGGGGGAGTACCCCCAACAAAATTCTACAAATTCCGAAAACGCCTCGGATTTCGATTCCCTATGCACTGCTGTGCAGTTTCAAGCAAACGTTACTTATAAAAGTTGTTTAATTTTCATTTTAGTCCAGAAAAACGCCACATTTACATCGATTTCGGGCACTATGAGTGAGCAGTTGTCATTCCCCCTGGATCCGCCACCGATCTCTCTGATAGTAAAATCGGCTTTTAGGTAGAAAACTACATATGCGTTGTTAAAAGTATTGGTTAAAAGCTATCGATCATTTTTCTCTATGCCTTTCCATCTCTCTTCGCCGTCAAGATTGTCGGATGTGTTCATTTACGCCTTCACCATGACGAAGTTGTGTCAGTCAGCTTCGTCAGTCAGCTCGGCCAGGGATTGAGAAACTCACCTGCCCTTGATCTTCCCGTTAGTTACATCCGCCTTACGCGAAGACTTCGGTCGCGCCATGCACGAAAACATCGCAGTGCAGGAGCCAAAATAAAAATGCGATTCTCTTACCAAAATGTGTCACACTGAAAACAGTTTAACCCAGGGCCGGCGAGTAAACCGGTGTTTCGCGGGTACCCCTATCCGCAACCATTTTTAACCACCCTCCCAGGAGTACAGTAAGGTCCCATTGCAGTGTAGCCGTATCTGTCTCAGCGGTTATATCCGCTCAGAGCAGGTATGACTAAAAGGGGTTACCCTCCACGCCTACCCTTCGCCGACCAAGTCACGAGGGCCAAAAAAAAAACTCCCACGCTTGACCATATTTGAGGGAAATTATCTATATTATGACAATCTCACACCGGTAGTCGTACAGACCGCCCGAAATCAAGAAGATGTTTCGCGACTGCTTTCGTGACCTATATAAGAATCAAAATGGTCTCACTTGGTAGTTTCGGAAGAAAAGGCGTTGCCAATCGTCCCGTGATGAATATTGCAGAGGTTTTAAAGATGCATCCTAACAATTGTACTTTCGCCCCCACTTGAAACCGCCAAACAATGTGCCAATATATCATTGGTGCAAAAAAAAAAGTTAAAAAATTGCTGTAATTCAAAACTGTATGAGACAACGCCATCTAGTTGTGCCAGTAGATCCAACTCCTTCAGGGCAGGTTATGTAAAGGTTCGCCATCCACGGATACGCGTTTACGATACCTCGAGTAGTTCCAACTCTTTCAGTGGGGGCTATGCCAATGACTCGACACCCGCGGGGACAATATCCGGTGCTGAGTAGCTACCTTACTGCAGACTGTGGGTACGGTGCATATTTACGAGTAATAAGGCAGGCAAGTCTGCTTACCCTCTAGCTAGAATCTGGACATAGCGAGTTAATACACATACATATACCACCCGCAGAGCAACGCTTAATTCGCCAGCTTCGGGTGAAATTGTTTTCAGTGCACAAATGTTATCATGCTGCATGCGTCAGTACTGCGTACTCCTCGGCAGGGCTGCGGAGTCGATGGATTTTCGGCGACTCCGACTCCGACTCCGACTCCGGCTTTCAAAAACCAGCTCCAACTCCGACTCCGACTCCGGGCAGAATTGTCGACTCCGACCGACTCCAACTCCCGACTCCGACTCCGCAGACCTAGCAGGGCTGCGGAGTCGACAGATTTTCGGTGACTCCGACTCCGACTCCGGCTCGGGTTTCTAAAATCGACTCCGACTCCGACTCCGACTCCGGTCACAACTGTCGACTCCGACCGACTCCGACTCCGACTCCGACTCCGACTCCGCAGCCCTGCTCCTCGGTGTTAAAATTTTCTGTATCACGGTCTTTTCTATTATGCACTTGAATAAAACGAAAATACGACCAAGAGCCCCACCCAAAAACCCACTACAGGGTGGATAATCCCCCACTCCGTGAACTGAGAGGGGGACGACGAGGTTCCCTCTGTCCCTTCCTGTGGCACCGCCCATGGAAATACTTGTACCTTTAGTGTCGGTAGACTACATGTTAGGTTGCTTCTTTTTATCTTTCTCAGTTGTGGGCTACCCAAGGATTACAAAAAGGAAAAAGCCGTTTGCATCTGACTGCTTTCGCCATATAGACCTTATACATATAGGACACATGCAGGAGCTATGGGCCTCTGAGCCACTGAAAACCCACGCCGACTATTATAAGCACATTCACCGGTGAAACGCTTTTTTTAGCGTCGGTGGTTACCTATCAAAGGCCCATCCCTAACGAGATACAGACCTGTTTGTTCTCAGATACCCCAAACCTCCCAAAGCTCCAAAAGCCCTAGGTACAGCCTTGGTGCATAACATTGACCTATCGTCCAGCGCAGACGTTCTGAATAGCGAAACGTCTCCTGCATGTGCGCACGTGCACTGCGCGGTGTGCAGTGACACCCCAACCGTGTCACATAAGAATGCATCGCTCGCTGGGGTCTCGCCCATTCCGAGTTTTCTTAGCTCTGCAAAGACGAGTTTCATGCTTCCGCTCGTTCCTTATAGTGAGTGCTCTTAACCAGGAGCCTGCCACTAATAGGGTTAACAGTGAGATTAGATACGTGTTGAATGTTGCTCATGGTACTTTATGTATAACTATATGAAACAGAGCATGGTTGT